TTGGAATTGCGGCCGCTTTTGGAATTTCAGATGCATCTCTCACCCTTTTTAATATTATAACGGCCAAGTGGGGCCAGCGTCTGAAAGAGCGATTCCGCCCGAGACTTCCTCACAAAAACTTTCAGATCGCCTTCCAGGGCGATCTGAAAATTTGCCATGGCATCTGAAAATGGCGATTTCGCGTGGGACTCCCTCAGGAAAACAAGTCAGTCCGATCTCCATGCCGCTTGAGAGTGGCGATATCGCCTACTCACAGAGTATTTTCCAACCGCTTTTCACGCCGCCAGAGAGTGGCGATTTCGTTTGGGCTGTCCTAGCAACCGCTCGTCTCGTCCACCCCTGCGGCGCCGTTCCTCCGTTCGGGTCACGAGCCTGTCTCAGAGTCATCTTGGGATCGATCGAAGATCGAAGCTCGAGGTTTTCTCGATTGGCGAAGACCCAGGGGCTGTTCCCTCGCGTGGTGCCGATCACCACTCTTTGATCCAGGGGGTGGTCGTGGACCTGTAGACTGTACATGTATATACGTAGAGGTGAGGCCGCACGTGCGCGATGCTTGAAGGACCAGGACGCGTGGCACGAAGCGCACACGAAGCCCTGCACTTCGAACAGTCTTCTACGGACGCCCCCCCCACCCTCCGGGCCTGCGCGCTCCCGGCGCCATCCTGCACCGCCCGAGCGGGCCCTCGATCGCTTCTCGAGAGGTCCCGCGGAGCACCGGCACGGCCCACGACCGCTCCAGCACGCCTAAGTTGGTTTCGGGACGGCCCCAGGACGGCCCCAAGAGCGTTCAAAGAGGGTGCCAAACGGCCTCAAGACGGCCAACGAAGCCCTCAAGGCGCTCCAAGACTCCCCGAGGGCGCCCCGAAGAGGCGAACATCGTCCCGTTGCTCTGGGCAAGCGTACATGTCTAGCAGATTCGCTTCTTCGGTCTAAGCAGCGTCCAAAAGGGTCCAAGAGACCCCCAAGACGGCCCGAGAATGCCCAAGGCGCCCCCAAGAGGGCCCCGAGACAGCCCAAGAGGGCTCCAAGACAGCCCGAGAGAGCGCGAGACAATCGAATAGAGACCCCAGAGAGCCCCTAAGAGAGCCCCGAGAGGGCCACAGGAGGCCCCCAAGAGGGCCCAGGAGAGCCCCCAGAGAGCCCGAAGACGGCCCAAGCTCCCCAAGACAGCCCAGAAGAGCCCCGCGACAAGGCCATTCGACAGCAATGCACGCCGCCCGGCCCCCGCGTTTCTCCCAAAGACCTCCAAGAAGAAGACACGAGGAGCGCGACGACGACGACGACGACGACGACGATGACGACAAGGCCGGCGAGTCGGAGCCTGGGCTTCGGCGGCCGCCCAATTGATTCTCTTAAAACAGGGCTAGGATCGGGATAAATCGCTCCGGAGCGTTCCGGAGCGCTCTCAGAGCGTTCCGGAACGCTCTGGAGCGGCCGCGGCGCCCAATACATCCTCCAAACCCGCCGATTCTCATAGATTTCGAATTATCCCGATCCGATTTTGTCCCGATCTTCGCGTCGTTTTATCTCTCCTGCTCACCAGCCTCCTCGCCTCCCGTCCCAGACGTCCACCGTCACGATTTTTGTTGTCGCAGCGTCAGCCCCCCCAAGATCAAGACACCTTTCCCTGTGGATTACCTTTTCACCCAGAGGAGGAGGAGGAGGAGGAGGAGGAGGAGGAGGAGGAGGAGGAGGAGGAGGAGGAGGAGGAGAGGAGGAGGAGGAGGAGGAGGAGGGGAGGAGGAGGAGGAGGAGGAGGGAGGAGGAGGAGGAGAGGAGGAGGAGGAGGAGGAGGAGGAGGAGGAGGAGGAGGAGGGGGAGGAGGAGGAGGATGAGGAGGAGGAGGAGGAGGAGGAGCAGGAGGAGCAGGAGGAGGAGGAGGAGGGGGAGGGGGGGGAGGGTCCGCCCGCGCCCCGACCCTGTCACTGCCGCCCAGACGCCGGGAGTGCGGGACGCGCTCTCAGAGGCCGTTCCAGGCCTTTCCAGCCTCATCGGCTCCATGATTCTTCTGGGCCGAGCGAGCACCGGGGCCACCTTCGCCCGTTTGGGCACGATGCGCTCTGCTAGCGTTACGAGCCCTATGATGCCCATGTGCGCTACGAGCACTGCGTCATTCCGAGCTCCACGAGCGCCCGGAGCCCTGTGGACCCTGTGGGCTCGACGCACACAACGAGCCCTATTAGCCGTATCCTCTTACTCTCCCTCCTGTTTCCCTCCGCCACCCTTCCTGCACCTTCTCTTTTTCCCTGTACTCATTTTGGCTCAAGCCGTCTTGGCCTTTTGCCTGAATGCTTTAGCTACCTCTTCTGGCCATCGGAACAGAAGCGCCAACACCGAGCCGCCGCTACTGCCCAGACCATCCCGTTTGACGACGCCATCTTCACAGCGGCATGGGTTGGCCTCCTGGATTGCGCGGCGATCTCGGCCTGCCCGTTGGTGGTAGCCGGCCCGTTCTCCTCGGTCGTGTGGTTTAGAAGTGGGCGCAGCCCCGGGCTGTCCCGGAAGTGCCCGTCGGCCCCTGGTTCGCTCTAGCTGAGCTCCACCGCCTCCGGGCGGAGGTGGCCCAACTGCAAGCGGCCCTCGACGCCGACGACCACGCGGCTCCACCGGCAGCCCCCCACGCTACGCCCGAAGAACACCCCGACGGCGAAGGTTCCCTCCAGACGAGCACGCTTCCTTGCAGCCTCCCGCCACGTTCGTGGACTTTGCGCGTCCCTGTCCGCCGAAGCTAGGATCCCTGCCCCCGTGAGGTCCCGCATAGCCCATGGGTCCTATCAGCCCTGCGTGCCCCATGGTCCCATGGCCGAAGCGCACTGTGGTGCTGGCGACTTCCAGTCGTGGCAAGCCTCTCAGGTGCCATGCGACCAAGATTTTACAGGCGAAACGAAGCGAGCCGGTAACATATGGTGTATACATGTGCAGGTATGTATGTATGTATGTATGTATGTATGTATGTATGTATGTATGTATGTATGCATGTATGTATGTATGTATGTATGTATGTATGTATGTATGTATGTATGTATGTATGTATGTATGTATGTATGTATGTATGTATGTGTATATATAATATGTAAATGCAGATTGCACATGTGCAGCCCCGCGTCTGCGGACCACGGTTGTTCGACGTTATTGTGAAGACATCCTTCGCGACGTGTCGGTGATACTATCATCTTCATCGGTTGACAGTTTCTAGTGTTGCTGGGACACTCGAGTCGCCCACGCAGCTCGGTTTGGCCTCGGCCCTTTCGCCTTTCCACAAGAGCACCAGCAACTTCACACATAGTTATACTTGCCTTGCCATGGGCGCCCATGGGCTGTACACTGTTCGAATGTAGCATGTGATGAGCATTACGACTTGTGGGGTCTCCTGGTCTTGAGCTTATCGACGCTTTTCTCGCCGCATTGTTTCAACCATCCTGATCTCACATGCTCCGCCTTCCGTACTAGGTATTATCGTGAGGGCAGATTGTGCGAGTACCGAGGGTGGAATCCAACCGGGGAAGGAACCCTACAGGTGTACGCACGCGCGGATCTTAGTTGAATGTGGGTTTTGCTCACTCCTCCTTTCTGCCTCCCTTCCTCCTCCATTTGCCAGCCTCTGCATTTCAAGTGACTGCAGGCAACTCGCATATTCGAACTCTGTCAGAGGAGCGTTGCTAGAATGTGCATTTGACAAGCGGTGGTCGCCATGAGCCTTGGAAGCTCGCGTTCTCCCCGGTCGCGTTTCAGGGACTCCGTGTTGCTGCTGCGCATGCCGGCCAATTTCTCAATGAGCGCGCAGACCACTTTGCATAATGTGGTGCTGGTGACATCGTCTGCAATCCTGCTGACGTGAGTCGGTGGGCCAGGCCTCCGGCCTGATCTGTGTCTCGAAGTGGAGAAGCATAAGCCCTTGTCTTTTTCAGTGTGCGCATTCGTGAGCAAAGAGTTTCCTGTGCTTGTGCTGCGCAAGCAGTTCGGACGCCCCCGCACCTTCACGACGCGAGCTCGCTACGAACAAAAACTTGCCTCGGTGCGATCTGCGGGGGGCGGCCCAGACTGGTGGGTCGCGGGTCGAAATCTCGCAGGCGGCTTCTCACCCCCAATTCTTGCGGAGGGCGATCAATGGAGAGGAAGCATGCTGCCAAATGATTTCCAGATGTCTAAAACATGTCTAAAGTCTAAATCATGTTTTAACCATGTGGAACAAAAAAACCTGATACGGGAGAAAAAAACTCAAGCATCATCTTCTTAGGGCTGTAGGGCTATGGGGCTATAAGACTATAGGGCTAGAAGGCTATGGGGCTATAGGGCTACAGGGCTACAGGGCCATAGGGCTACAGGGCTACAGGGCCATAGGGCTACAGGGCTACAGGGCCATAGGGCCACAGGGCTATTGGGCTATGGGTTATGGGGCTATAGGGCTAGAAGGCTATGGGGCTATAGGGCTAATTACAGGGCTATAGGGCTATATAGAGCTACCGGGCACCTGGGCACCCGGGCACGGGCACACGGGCACCCGGGCACCCGGGCACCCGGGCACCGGGGCACCCGGGCACCCGGGCACCCAGGCACCCGGGCACACCCGGGCACGCGGGCACCTGGGCACCCGGGCACCCGGGCGTGCAGCGAAAATCGGCGGCAAACCTAACCTAACCACATGAATCCGCTAGGACCCCTACAGAGGCAAGCTCTGATTGGGGAATGTTTAAAACATGTTTAGAACATGTTTCCTACATTTCAACACACATTTTTCAATTCGATGATAGGACTGTTCGGGTGCCCCTTGTCGTGGCATCCACAACCCAGTTCCCGACGTCTTTCCAAAGAGGCCAAGCCGCCCAGAAGAGGGGGGGGAACTCGGGGATATAATCCTCGGAGGGGTGCTCGAGCGTGCCCCTGCCGAGGCTGGGCGGGCGCCCAGGCCGCGGGATGCTGTCGTGAGCTCCCTTTTTGAGATCCGCGGGCCGTGGCCGGCCGCGCGCGCCGGGCGGGGGAGACGGCCGCATGCCCCCCAGGAGGCGGAGGCCCGCCTGTTCGAGGCGAGGCTGGCCGAGGCGAGCGAGAGGCGGGCACGGCTCTGTTCCGATCCGCGTGCGCGCCTCTCTGTCGCCCCCTTTCTCTCTGTCTCGCTCTCTCGCTCTCTCTCTCTCTCTGTCTCTCTCTCTCTCTCGCTTTCTCTCTTTCTCCCTCCCTCTCTCTCTCTCTTGCTTTTTTTTTTCTCTCGTCCTCTCTCCCTCTCTCTCGCTCACTCTCACTCCCTTTTTGGTTGCAGTTACAGCTATATGTAAACTACATATCTAATTATGAATGTAAATGCCAATGTCTATGTCTATGCATATGCATACGTATATGTATATGTATATATATATATGTATATATACATACATATATATACATATATAAATATATGTATGGATGTACATGTATGTATGTATGCATGTATGTATGTAGGTGTGTATGTATGTATGCATGCATGCATGCATGCATGCATGCATGTATGTATGTTTGTATGCATGTGTGAATGTATGAATGTATATATATATATACATATATATATATATCCCTGTTCATATATTTTGATACAGCCGGGGAGCCCACACCCCAGCGCACCACACACACCCAAACGAATTTCGCCTCCTCGGGCCTGTCTTGCGCCTTGCTGTGGCCATCCTGGGGTCGCCTTGACGCCCCCCGAGTCAAGCGGAAGAGTACAAGCGAGAAGGCCGAAAACATTGGTTTTTCCCCAACCATCCTGTGGTGTTGGGTCCTCGTTTTGAAGAGACAGCGCCCCGCGTCCTCCCTCCTCCCCCTCCTCCCCTCCTTCCTCCCCCTCCTCCCTGCGTTTTTTTGTTACGTGCTCTCTTCTTTTCCCATTCTCCGGGCCCTGTTGCGCCAGCCTTGGGCCTCTTTGGGGCTCGTCTGGGGCCTCATCTGGAGCCGTCTTGGAGGCATCCTGGACGCCTCAAGAGCCAATCGGAAGCGACAAGGCGAGAAGACCAAAAGTCTTGCTTTCCCATGATTTTCCTACATTTGTCCATCTCTGTGCCCCCCTGTCCAGGCCCTACAGGGCCAGGGAGCGCATCCCCCCCCCGCTCTCCCCCAAAAGACTTTCGAATCCTCGGGTCTGTCTTGCGCCTCCCTGTGGCCGTCCTGGGGTCGTCTGGACGCCCCCCGAGTCAACCGGAAGTGAAAAAGCGAGAAGGCGAAAACATTGTTTTTCTACTGCGTTTTTTTATGCTTTTCCCACTCTCCGGGCCCTGTTGCGCCAGCCTTGGACCTCTTTGGGGCTTGTCAGGGGACTCAGTTGGAGACGTCTTGGAGCTGTCTCGACGTCTCAAGAGCCAAGCTATACATATATATATATATATATATATACACACATATATATATGTATATATATACACGTATAACATGTACGCCTTCCTGTTCGTATATGTTTATAGGGCTGGGGACGCCCGAAAAAGGCCCCCGCCCCCCCCCCCAACGAATTTGGCCCTCCCCAGGCCTCCGGGCAACCCTTCAGACGACCCGGGAGAACCTCACGAGAGCCTGAAGACGGCCCCAGACGGGTTCAGGCGCTCCGGCGCGCTCCCGAAACGACCCCAGAGAGCCCCAATACGGTCCACGACGACCCCCAAGAAGCCGTCATACCCCTAAAGGTCGCTCCAAAACGTCCCAAGAGGCCTCCAAGGTCCAAGAGCACTCCCAAGGAGGCCCCCCGAGGCAAAAATCATTGATTTTCTGTAGGTTTTTGGTGAATTTGGGGGTTCTCCTATTTTCGGCTTCCCGACGCTCCAAGACAGCGGGCGGTCTTCTGGGCGTCCGAAGCCGCCTGGGAGGCTCCAAAATCGCCCCACAACCATCCGAAAGGGCTTCCAGGCAAAGAGAGCCCCAAAACGGCACAACAGGGATCCAAGATGGCCCTAAGAGAGCCCCATGACGGCCCAAGATGGCCCCAAGACACCCTCCGAAGCATTCCAAATCGTGACCAGGTCGTTGAGGGAGACCGCGGTTGGAGGCAGGGTGGCCCGAGGAAGCCCCCAGAGGCCCCCAGAACACGCCCAGGAGGCCTCCAGAAGGCCTTAAGAAAACATGGCAACTTTTGTGAGGCCCCCAGAGGCTCTCCAAAGAGGAGCCTCCGCAAAAAGAGCTGAGGAGGATGGGGAATATGCGCAGGGTATGGCGAGAATGAGGAAAAAGAAGCATGGACGAAGAATAACGAATAACATCATTACAACGGCGATGCCAGAAAAGGCAACAAGGAGTTCTCGCGAAATTGTCGGCTTGACCTTCCTGTCGTTCCGCCCGCACAGCAAACTTCAAGGACCAGGGCGCATGGAGCGAAGCGCCACTGCAGTCTTGCATATATATATATACAAGACTGCAGTGGCGCTTCGCGCCATGCACGTTCGTCCTTGAAGTTTGGTTTGCAGGCGGAATGGCAGGAAGGTCAAGCCGACAATTTAGCGATAACTCCTGGTTGCCTTTTCCGGCATCGCCGCTATAATGATGTTA